AAATTTTCATTAAAACTACATTTAATAAAATAACTAAAAGCACATGGAATATGCTTCTTTACCTTTTCCGTTTTTTTACTCGCCCCATTGTTCTCATCTTCCGGCACGTCTTCCAGTATGCTCTCGGAGTCAGCATAAATTACGAAAGGCACCTTTTCCTTTTTCTTGTGATTGATGAACTTCAATACAGCCTCCTTTTTGTTTGGCAGAGTACAGACTACGTTTCCACACTGCTTTTTGTGAGTCATACATTTATTTTCATCGTGGAAACATTGTAGACATCCATAACAAAAATAAGCTTTCTCCTTATGACTTGTGAATTGAGACCGCATAAGACTGAAAAAAAAAAGAACAAATACATGATTATTAGAATATGGTTTTGATTGATAAGTTTTTTTTTTTTTTTAATTACCAAGACATATCCATAACCAAAATGTAATGGAAATGTTCTTCATTGTGCAGCAATATTAAATTAATGTGATTGCTTTTCGTCTCCTTTGTTAAGTAATATGGACCAACGACCGACTTGTTTTCATAACCGAAAACATTTACGCTAATCTCCGGGTTGTTCATTTCAAATTTTTTATATATTTAAGACCCAATGGGAAATTTAATTGTTCGAAATTTAGCGATATTCCAGACTGCAGAATAATGACATCTTGGTGTATGTCGATGTTATATGAAGAGGTTATACTCGGATCTCCATATGCAGTTTCTCCCAATGCAACAACCATACACCACTTGAAACAAAAGTCATCATAGTTTTTGATGTTAAGGCACGCACCCTTCTTGTTGCTTAATGATTTCGGAGTTGGAATATAATGTGAGCCACGGGTTAAGTTGGCTCTCAACACATTTATGTCAAGTTTTAAAAGTTTCTCCAGGGCCCAATTAGAGCCTCTTTCTTGGAACTCTTCTGATTTTGCTATAATTTCCACACAGTGGTTGAAAACAACCTCTTCCAAATCATCTCCCAGGGTTAATAGCGTTGTTTTTGAAATATGATTAAATATATTTTCAATAGTTAACTCTTTGGAAGTTGAAGGTCCATCTTTTTCATTGTTTGGTTTCACATATAGTCCTTGGAGTTCCATATTAAATTTTATGAGCGTTTTACCGTTTAACTCATTTTTTAAGGTTTTAATTATTAATTCTTTTGAAGCATTAAGAAAATCGATCGGGTACAAAATGTCTTTATTGTTTTGTATCTCATAGCTGAGTATATTTTTGTTAAATGCACTTTTAACAATTTTTATGTCAGAATCCAGATTTTTTCTCACGGTGGATCGATGTTCTTCGCTACGAACGTGTGATCGTATATTATTCACAATTTTATCACAATCACCACAAAACTTTTCCACCTTCACAGCTGATTTATTTTCATGCTGCTGCTTTAGTTTTTCTTGTTGTTGATCCCGATTTTGTTTTATTACATGCTCATCTCCATGATGGTTCTCTAAGTGCAATTCTAAATCGTTTACACTTTCACATAAAACATCACAAAACATACAATGCTTTTTCATATGTTTCACAAATTCACTTTTTTCCTTGAAATAAAGGCTGCATGACCAACAAATTTTTTGAGACATTATAAAAACTTTTTTAAAAATATTAAGAAACGATGCTTATTAATCTGTGACTTGTTGAGTACTGAAATTTCTTCCAATCCAATCAATACATTATTGACTACATTTTGTAAACAAATAGAAATTCTATGATTGAAGCAGAATTTGTCATGAAACTCTGCAACAACGCTTCCCCCCAAATTCTCATATCCATTTCACAGAAATCCAATTGTTAGTTAATGTAAACAATGGTGTTTCCTTCTTCAAATCCCTTCAATCTTCAATACCGAATTGATGCAGGGTTTGTCATGAAACTCTTTCAGTTTCAATTCTCTCAAATTGCTACATAATGTAAACAAATTCTTCATCGACAAAACTATCAAAAAGCGATCGATATAATGTACCAAAATGCCTGTCCACACAAGAAGAATTTGCTTTGATTGGCTACAGCAGCATTTTTTTAGTGTGTATATGCTACAACATTAATTGGTGGTTAGATGTCGCCTATATCGTTTCGAGGGAAATGACTGGAGAGCCATCTGGACAAAATAATAGAACACACATCTTCTTGTTGACTATGATACTAACCAAATTTGTCTCTGCTATATTCACTTCTCATATGGTGGATCTCTCTAATCCCATTTGATATGATCATATTTCAATAGTTTTGGAGTGTGTCTATGCTACAACATAATTTATGGATAGTATAGATAGAACTCACCGTTAGATGTCGCCTATATCGTTTCGATGGGAATAACTGAACATTTTTGAGTCGCTAAAATTATAGACAAATTAAAACAAGTACAACGAAAAGTTAGTTTTGTCTTTTTATCTCATCATGTTTTGCATAGCCAACATGCTGATTTTCGTGTTCAACCCACTCGACTTCGTTATCGTTTTTCAAGAATTTCACTTGATTATTCCGGAATTTTTCGATGTCATTTCTTTGTCTATATTTTCATTTATATTTTCATCTATGCTGAAATTAAAACCCCTGAAATATCAATAATTGCAGCATATTTGTCAATTGAAACTCTTCTATAATATATCACATTTATTGAAGTCGATTTCTTGAAATATATGTTTTCAAATAAATTAATAAGCACATTTGACTGCAGTAATCAGCATGTTGACTATGTAAAAGCATTCTGAGAGCCATCTAGATAAAATGATTTTCTTCGATACTTACCTCTTTCAGATGTGTTTCTGCTATATTCACTTCTCACATGTTGAATCTCTTTAGCCCCACTCGATATGATCATAATACATTTTTTTTTTCGGAGGGTGTCTCTGCTAGTGGTGAATATTAAAACTTGAAATTTCACCATCCCATACACAGTTTTGGATTGTGTCTGCGCTAAACTTAGCGCCATCTAGTAGTTCATATTAAAACTAGCAACGCCAACGCCAACAGCCCCAATAAAATTTGACGTGGTACAATTCAAAAGACAACATCCCCAATATAATTTGCCGTGGTACAATTCAAACGACAACATCCCCAATATAATTCACCGTGGTACATTTCAAAAGACAACATCCCCAATATATTTCACCGTGGTACATTTCAAAAGACAACATCCCCAATATATTTCACCGTGCTGAATTTCCCCCAATCAACATCCCCAATAGAATTTGCCGTGGTACAATTCCCAAGACAACATCCCCAATATATTTCACCGTGGAGAATTTACCCTAATCAACATCCCCAATAGAATTTGCCGTGGTACAATTCCCAAGACAACATCCCCAATAGAATTTGCCGTGATAAATCGTGGTGAATTCCCAACATCCCCATAAGCACACTACTTGCAACAATGTGACACTTTGAAGCAAAATACAACCATTTTGTATTCAAGTCTTACATTATTTATGACGCTAATATTTTAGTTTTCTGTTTCAGATTACATTTTTCCCTGATAGATGGCATAAAAGTCGAGAAAAAGAAACAAAAATGAAGTCGAATGATTGTTTGAGATTACTTGTGTAATTTGGTACCATGCCTGTGCTATTGCTTTGTTATTGATGCACTGAACATACCCAATAATTTAAAGAAAGAAAGAGGCAACTCTTCGAGTATACATTTCTATCTGTTATTATTCACTCTCACAGTTAATAAAACTATTGATGAGAGAGATCTATAAATAGTACTTTTTAAAGGTATTTTTTTCGTTGCTCTCGTTTACGTTTACGTTCTGCTTGAGGTAATTTACACAACCACCAACATGAATTTTAATCTATATTTGCGATCACTAGGCATTTGTAGAGAAATTAAACTTTTCGACCTCAACCTTTCTGACTGTCACAAGAACCGGGCGTTATTTAAATACTACCTTATGTACGATTATTGTCTCTAATTACCGATGATATATGTGAAAGGTAGCTGATCTTGTACAGCTCTTTCAACTTATGTTCATGCTGCCAAAAACAAATTAAGACTGAAAAAAAGTGTTACCAACTATGACAAAAGCAATGCGGTGTAGATGTTTTATTTTTGGCAACACTGAACATGCCCTTTATATTTGCCTAAAAGTACGTTTACATACAAATATTTAATCCGTGTAACCGTAGTAATTTATAAATTACAATAAATATTACAATTATATTCGTTAAGTTTATTGTGATTTATTAATTATTACAGTTAAAATGAATTATATGTAAAAGCTCGATGGAACATTTTACGGCCAGGCGCCCTATTTAAGTAAATTTACACCTCCAACCTGAATTTTAAACTAATTGTGCGACCACCAGGTCGTAGAGAAACGAAACTTTTTGATCTCAACCTTTCCCAACTTCTACAAACACCCGATGGTATTTAAATTGTATCTTATACGGGCGACGATTGTGTCTAATTACCGATGATATCCACTGGACACAGGAGAACCTTATTAACAAAAAACTGGTCGTCAAGTTAAGTTCCTTGTTGCCAAAAAAAAAAAAACAAATTAAGACTGAAAAAGTGATACCAACTATGATAAAAGCAATGCCGTGTAGATGTTGTGTTTTTGGCAACACTGAACATACCCATTATACTTGCCTAATTGTATGTTTGCGTACAAACGTTTAGCCGTGGTAATTACCAATAACACTAACTTTGACAATGAAAAACTTCCGTCAAGCTTATTGTGAGTTATTAATTTTTATATAAAAACTATTGCTTTGTTCCAGAGCCTGCAATAATCTACTATTTTTGTATTTTTTTAGATATCATAAGGGGAAAATCGGTTATCGTAGTAAAACTTTTACATTCTTGCAGTTCGGGAACAAACCATGTATCACTAAATGGAAGCAGAGCTTTCAAAATAGCTAATGATGATTAGGCAAACTAGTTTTCTACCAATATTTCTTTTATTTTTATTTTCTTTCAATTTTTATGCATATATACATTGGCTTTAAGATTATTTTTAAACAAATCGCTTCAAATGCAGTTGTACTTACCATGGGTAATGTTTTCGGCACCTTATTAACTTGATATTGATATTGGACATCCAAAACTTTAACAACAACAAACTCAGCCAGGGCTGCAAATACGGATACCATACAACCGGCCATCCATAAATCTAAAGCCTGCAAACAACACCAAAAAAAAACATTAAAATTCCAAACATAAACTCCCAATTCCCCAACAACTTACCTTGACATAAGCCACTGGTGGTATATCTGCTCGCAGGCCAGTAAACATTGTCACCAAGGTGAGCATGCAAGTAACCAAGAGCGTTACTCTCCCCGGTATGGCATCTAAACCCAACCAAAAACTAAACCATGACAACATTACGACCAGTGACGATGGTGCAAATGTCTGGATCAAATGATGGCCTATTTGTCGTTCGAAACGAAAGTAGACGGTGAGGCGTGAAAAGTTGCCAACCTTCTCGGGCATATAACCATCACTTTCTTCCAATTCCAGCGGTTGACCTAAATTGTATTGCAGTAACTTAAGTTCAGGATTTAGGGTGACACCAGAATCGGACCAGCGTAATTTTACTTTTTGATTATTTGAAGAGACTTTTGGGGAAAAAAGACAAGCGGTTATCACTGGTTTCCTTTGCTGCAGTTTTTTTTTTCTTTTGTTGCCAATCAATACTTACAACTTTCTATGTAAATGGGACAGACTTGTATGTCCATGGGATATAATTGAAATTCCATTTGACAGGCTATGATGGCATGCATTCGTGCTGCATAACGTACCGTCTTATTTTTGTACAAAGTCACCGAAGTAAATTTGTGGGTTAATGTGGCAATTTCTAAAAGGAAAACATGGAAAGAACAAGAAAACAACAACAAAAATGTATAGTGGAAATGTTGGTGGAGGGAAGGAAAAAGAAAACAGAACCAACAACAATATTAACATTTAATAAAAGCTTAAAAAAAACTACAATGACAAATATATAAATAGTTAAGTTTTTTACTTAATTTATAAATAAAATACAAAGAAGGATTATGTGCTACACCATATGTATTAGGCTTCTTATATGCTCACTTAATTGTGTCCTACTTTATACAGATTCCGTATTTCAGAGTGCGGTATTTAAATAACAATATATATTTTGACAGCTAATCTAGTGATCAGCTGTGATAAATGGAGTACCATTTATTGTGATTAAGGCTATGTTTACATTTGAGCATTTAATCACTGTGAAGTGATACCTGACATGGTAGAGTTAAGAAGATAACGTCATGCAGTCATCAATATTATATATTTGACAACATCTCGCCGTCAAAATGTTTATTTAAAAATTGGTATATACATCAGAGATGGGAAACTGTTCTAGATGAAGTTAAATTTGACAAGGAGTATGTGTCAAATCAAAACCAATGAATTTAAGACTTGGTGTATACGCAATGGAATTGATATTTTAAATCCATTTGATTTATTATTTGTAGCAGGTTTACTTAAGGCTCCATATGCATTAGAGGTATACTTTGAAGATGAGAATACATAAAACGGTGTAGCATATAATCCAATCTAGGTATACCGTTCCATTTATACAAAAATATTACTTATTTTACTTACACATAAAGTAAAGTGTTACAAAAAGCCTGAATGATTATAACCAAAAAGTAATAAAAACTAAAATTACAATTAAAATATATATGTTTACATTCATGGATCCGGTGCAAAAAAGATAGTATTTTGTGACGTTTACCCCATTCACCAAAATAAAGGAATTAATGTTTAAACAGTTTTAGAGAAAGGCGCAATTTCAAACAGCTGAAGCCGCAATCAGCTGTTCTTATTGAATATTTCAAAATGTAAACAGTTTTGACATTTATTCCAATTTGAAACAGCTGGGGCTGCAAACAGCTGTTCTTATCGAATAGTTCAAAGTGTAAACACATTTTGACATTTATTGTGATTTTTAACAGAAGTGGAACACAGTAGTCATGGTAGAAGAATACAGGTGATCGCATCGGCACAGCTGCTGGCACAATGAACTGTCAAATCAATATTCAAATTGAAAATGTTGAAGGAAAAATGTTTAAAAAATTAAAATTTTTAACAACCTTTGGTTCGTGTAGTATAAGAAAGCTTGGGAAAATTGATATGTGAAATTTGTTTTAAATGTTTTATTTAAAAAATAGATTTTATATCTTTCCTTATACGACGCAATTCGATATGCATCTTTCAAAATTTTGTACAAATCTCAATAATTTTTCATTCAACATCTTCAATTCCAAAATCGGTTTGACAGTTCATTATCCCTGCAGCTGTGTCGATGCGACACCTGTTTTCTTCTACCATGAGCATTAAATTTCCACAGGCCTCGAAAACATATTTCACTTTTCGATTTCTACACAGACCTCGAAAACATATTTCACTTTACATGTCATATTTAAAAATTTAGCACGCCATTTTATTAGGTTGTACTAGATTGCATTAATTCCCTTGTATTTGAAGTTGAAAGATTTTATTTACATTTAGTGAAACAAAAATAAATAATTTAAAGCATAATAAAGCCAATGATTTGTAAACAAATAAAAAATGTACTTTACATTACAACAACACAACACTTCACCACAATATTTTACTCATTTCTTTCCCTTTTTTTAATATAAAGAAGGATTTCTTTAAGTATACGACAAATTGTTGGCGTTTTGACGTTTTCATAATTAGTGAGGTCAAATAAAACAAATACTTGTACAATTACATTTGAACATGGTCCCAAATTTACCATAAATATAATAACTCTTCAAATTTTGTCCCAAAAAACCATATTCCATTGTAATTTTTTCGATAAAAATTCAAAGCACACATACATTGTTTTGTAGGACATTTTGAGAGGAAAAGTATTGTGTTCGATTTTGAAATTTGCAGCAGGTGCCGGTGTGCAGTGAAAAATTATTTTTTTAAAGAAATTAAAACATTGGGAGAAATATTTTTTAGCGTGGAAACCAATTCTTGTATGAAAGCAACAGAGTAGAATTAAATAAAAAATAAAATTATATTTGAAAGTAAAAAGAATATAAACAATAAAGTTTGATTTAAGCCATAAAAAATTTAACTTAAGGTGGTCTTTTGGGGAGTTTTTAAAACTAGTGAAAGCCTATAATAGTTCTGAGAAGAATACTACATCCTAATAATATGGGAAAGGACAACAAGAAACTGTGTCACAATAGTGAGTTACCAATTTGGAACACAGTATTTAAAGTATTACATTATTTACCACAATGTTTTCTGATTCGAAAAACTAATATTATGATTGTTAAAATGTTTGTTTACGTCACAATTGCAGGGATTTTGACAATACGGGTGAAATCAGCTGGTCTTATCGGATGCCCTAATAGATAGACCATGGATACAAGTATGGTAGAAGAATACGGCACAGCTGTTGGGACTATTAACTGTCAAACTAATTTTGAATGAAAAACTATTCACATTTGAAAAAAATGTTGGAAAACGTATTTTTTAATAATTTCGTAAACTTTGACATATCCCCCAATGCATCTACCTGTATTCTTCTACCATGGAAACAAGCATGGTACAATAAGCAGGTAGAATAGCTTCGTAAAACTACAGAAATACAGCTCTGAGGCTATGCCCACTTCCTGCCAAATTTGTTGTTTTCATTTACTCAGTATTTTTCCTCATTTTTAAAATCTGTTAAACAGCCGAAAAAATGAATGAAATCCCTGGATATTCTTTCAAAAATATGATCTAAACTGTTCTATATTTCAATTCCATGGCAAAACTGGCGAATAGCTTTAATGCTCCTCTCTATTTACGCGTCATCCAATCATTGATTTTGAAAATATTCTGTTTTTATTTTTCAAAACAATAAAATTGGCAGAAGTCGGACACACTTAGAAAAAATTGTAGTCAGCTGTTAGCTCTATCTTACCTTTTTATTGTACCATGGATACAAGTATCTACAATCACTGAACACATTCATTAATTACGACTTTTAGTGAGGTTCGCATGTCCCAATTTTTGTTGAAACTCTGAAAATGCCTCTTATGCCTTTTGTTTAATAGATTTTGACTGTTTTTGACTTTACATCAGTCGGTATAAACTATGGATTTATATTTTCTTATTTAAATTATATTAATGTCTGATATCAGCTGACAAACCCTTTTTATGGGTATGTTCAGTGAATGAATTAATTTTCACTGAACATAAGAAATTGTAGTTTTTAGTAGGGTTCACAGGCATTAAAATTAAATCGAATTTATTGATCTTCACTCAAAATAGCAAATCCATGGTAAAATTAAAAAGGAAAAGTCATTAACATATCCTTCTCTGCATTTTTTGTAATTTACCTTGTAAAATTTCACTGTATAGAAAACATGTTCCCATCTCTGATGTGTGTGTGTATACAATGGATATGCAAATATAGATTTTAACAATGAGAGGTTTTCAAATAAATAATCTTGAAAAAAAAATTGTAAACATATGATTGCATGACTTATTCTTATTAATTCTATCGTTTTACAAATTCCCAAACTAATTCCCCGTTTTCCCAAAAGACCCTTGTGCTGTGTGTTCTTTGAAGCGCGCATAAAGTGGACTTCTCCCAAAAACATAATAAAAATGCGAAAAAAATAATTTCAAACAAAAAATATTGTTTTTAATGTAGACTCATTGAGGCTATAACGGGACATTTACAAACAATGACATGAATACTATTATTGCTGTTGTTTTAATATTTATTTTTTTGTTGGTAAATTATTTGTTTTGTTTGTATACTTAAAGTCTTCTTTAGATGAAAATTTTTCTTCTCTTTCTCGGTTTTATGGCGTATCAGAGAAGTTTGCTCAATGTAGGGACTTCCCAATCCTAGTTGTTTTGTTTTGGAAGATTTGAAGGTTGTTGGGAAGACGTTGTTGTAGTGGTAGTTGTTAATATTTTTATACAATTTCAAGGTTAGTTGTTTTTTGTTTTGTTTTTTAAAAAATAAGTTTTTGTTTTTGTTAAATAAAGACAATGGAAAGAATGAAAATAAATATTAAAAAACCAGAATAGAATATTAGCAGTTTTTTATGTATATTTTTTTTTACAAAAAAGAGAGATAAGCACATTGGCATACATAAACAAGAAACATTTACGCAACAGAACACGGTTATAAGGATCTTTATCACGATAAACTATTCTGTCACGAATAATTTGCTATAAAATGTATGAAAATATACGTTAAATATCTCATGATAGACGAAATTAAAAAAAATGCCTAGGCAATTGCAACCAACTTCGCTGTGTTCTAACATAGTGTTTACACATAATTTGACATATAATGTATGAATCATGCATGATAGAAGAAGAAGAAGACGCATCGACACAGCTGCTAGGACAATGAACCAATTTTGGAATGGACATTTTTGAATGAAAAAATATTTAAATTTGTAAAAATTGTTAAGAAACACGTATTATAATAACCTCCGAATGATGTCGTATAAGAAAACATATACAAATCTTCTTATATTTGAAAAACATTTAAAATTTCTTGTTATATCAATGTTCCCAAGCGTTGATGCATCTACCCGTATTATTCTGCCATGGAATCATGGTAAAAGAATACAGGTAGATGCTTCAACGCTTGGGAATTGTCATTTTTTAAATGTTTCTTCAAAACTAAGAAGATTTGTATTGTTTTCCTATGCGACGCCATGGAGGTTGCCATGATATGCATTTTTTAATAATTTTTACAAATTTGAATAATTTTTCATTCAAAATTTTCATTTTGAAATTGGTTTGACAGTTCATGGTCTCAGCAGCTGTGTCGATGCGACTACCTGTATTCTTCTACTATGGTATGAATATATTCCTAAAATATATCATGATAGATATCACAAAAAGTAAGACTCGGCAATTGCAACCAACTTCGTTAGGTTATAACATAGTGTTTACACATAACAATTGTGCTAGGAAACAGTGGGAAACTTTCCTGTCATAATTTAATTTAATGTTCAAGTGGCTTGTTCTCTTTCCTTATAACCGTGTTTCGATTGCATTTGAACATAAATTTAATTATAGTTTTTTACAAGGTTTGTTTCGAATATATTGTATTATTTTAAGTTATCTAATTGAATATTAAAGCTTACAAGATTGCACATATTCATATTACAGCATATTAGTTAAATAAAAAGCCCAAATATCAAAATACATAACATTTAACCAATTAAACGGTTTTCAAATATGCCATAACAGTTTCGACTACAAAATAAAACAAACACTAAAGTACATAAAAAACGAAAAACGCGCATGAATATACAAAAATTTCTCCATTTTGAAATCCCCACAAACTTACCTGCTATTTTTGAATTGAGAAAATATGGATCCGGTTGCCAGAGATTATCGAAAAATTCCGGTAATAGGGTGACATAATCATCTCCTTCCTCAAAAATATCATCGGATATTTCTAGTCTTGATTCTAGCCATCGTTGGTGTATAAACATATCTACTCTAAATAATAATAACCACAAAAAAACAACAGACAGAAATATTTAGAAATAATTTATAAAAGATTGAGGTTAAACAAATGTAAATAGTGTGTTGAGAAAACGTTTTGACAAGGAGTTTTGGGGGATTTTGTTTACAATTTTTTTTATTGAAATCTAATCATCACAAGGTAAAAGATCAAGATGAGTTCTTAGCTTGGAAGTTGCTCTTCTTTTTTATTTAAAATTAGTTGTCATAACACTTTCTTGACAAACTGTATGAATCTAATTTATGTTAAAGAACGAATATGTACTAAGTTATTAATGGCCTCATTAAGCCATGTACATAAATAAATAAAGTTACACCTTAAACATTCCATGGAGTCATTAGTTTGTATTAATTAAACCAAAATGTTGTTCTCATTGTATTTTGAGAATAATAAATATAATTTCTTAGACAATTAAAGGGACATGCCATGGTAGAAGAATATTGGTAGTCGCATCGACACAGCTGCTGGGACAATGAACTGTCAAACCAATTTTGAATGAAAATTCATTCAAATTCGTTAAAACTGTTGTAAAATGCATATCATAACAAACTCTGATTGACGTCGCATAACGAAAACTTATAAAAATCTACTTATTTTTAAACAAATATTTTGAAAAATGTTCCCGAGCGATGATGATGCATCTACTTGTATTCCTCTACCATGGGTCATGGCAAAATTAAGAAGGTAAAGTCTTTTCAAATAAGCATATCCATCTTTGCATTTTCTGTAATTTACCTTGTCAAATTTTTTGTATAGAAAAAAGATTCCATGTGGATATATAATGGATTGACAAGTAAAATGTTGACAATAAAATTTTGAAAAAAAAAAAAAAAAATGTGAACATGTGATTGTGAACATATGACTTTACCTTCTTCATTCTACCATTATACCGGTAAACCGGAAAAATAATGTAAGAATTAAGAAACTCCTTAGTCAGATAGATTTTTACGGCTGATGGAACAAGAAGATACATTACCAGCTTGGCATCAAGTCATGGCATAACAATGTAAAATTATAATGGAAAGCGGCGGCAGAATTCGAGTGCGGCTCTGACATTAATCGTCATTCATCAACGATTGGGAACATTGTTATATATCATTTTTTAAATGTTTCTTTAAAAATAAGTATTTGTGTATATGCTTTCCTATACGACGCGAATCGGAGGTTATTAAATTATGCGTTTTACAACAATTTTTACAAATCTGAATCATTTTTCATTCAAAATGTTCAATTCAAAAAATGGTTTGACAGTTCATTGTTGCAGCAGCTGTGTCCGTGACTACCTGTATTCTTCTACCCTGTAACATATGGTATACATCATGGACACATGGACAATGAATTCTCAAACCAATTTTCAAATTGAAAATTCTGAATGAAAAAATATTCAAATTGGTAAAAATGGTTAAAAAATGCATATCATAACAACCTCCGATTGACGTCGTATAGGAAAACATACACAAAATCTACTTTTTTTTTTGAAGAAACATTTAAATTTTTTGACATATCAATGTTCCCTAGTTTTGATGAATCTACTTGAATTATTCTACCATGGAATACATAGAACGCCTATTTGACTGGCCAAATCCCCATCTCAAATTATGGGCTGAAATTAAACTATGTCAACCTAGAACTCCAATTTTCAAATTGAACATTTTGAATGAAAAAATATTGAAATCTGTAAAAATGGTTAAAAAATGCATATCATAACAACCTCCGATTGACGTCGTATAGGAAAACATACACAAATCTATTTTTTTTTTTGAAGAAACATTTAAATTTTTTGACATATCAATGTTCCCTAGCTTTGATGAATATACCAGAATTCTTCTACCATGTAATACATAGAACGCCTATTTGGCTGGCTTACAGTGTTGCCCATATTCGACGGACCCATCTGTCAACGCCATAACTTTTGACAGAGATGTCACATCGCTTAATGACATACCGCGTTTGAAGTGTCAGTCCAAGCAGATTTTTACCATTAACCAATACACGCCACGCGAGCGCTCTGAAATTTACATTTAACAGAAGAAGTCAATTGTGAAAACTCAACGTGCTTATAAAACATTAAAAAATGTGAGAAGTGCGCCTTCTAAGAACACCATTAAGCGTTTATACGAAAAAATTTCGACTGGTAAGGCTCTTTCTAATCCGAAGAGGCCATATAAAAGTCGACCAAGGCGATCGGCCGACAATATCGCTGCCGTACGAGCCAGTGTTGAGAGGTCCCCAAGAACATCCCAAAAACGCCGTTCTCAGCAGTTGGGCATGGCTCGGTCCACTTTACAACGGATTTTTCGCATTGATTTGCATTTGTTCCCGTACAAAATTCAATTGGCGCAAAGAATGTTGCCTGCGGACAAGCCTCGTCGATTGGAATGGGCCCAAAGGTCCGTCGAATGTGGGCAACCCTGTATTTGTAAAATAAACTTAGTGTTACCCACCTCAAATTATGGGCTGAAATTGAACTAAGTCAACCTTGAACTCCTTTCTTATTTTACGACGAAGCCTTTGTTCTTTTACGACGAAGCCAATCTTAATGAATCTTCAAATTTATTTTCATGCGTAAATAAAAATTTATTTTTTTATTATTTTTCGAGTGCAAAGTGTAAACACCTTTGCGGAAAGTATAAACACCATGGCAGAAGAATACGGATAGATGCACTAACGCTTGGGAACATTGATATATCAAAAATCTTAAAATGCTTTTTTTTTGTTTTAAATATAAGTAGATTTTGATATGTTTTTTACTATGACAGTCGGGGGTTACATTTTTTTTACAAATTTGAGTAGTTTTTAACTCAAAAATGACAATTCTAAAATTGGTTTGACAGTTCATTGTCCCAGCAGCTGTGTCGATGCGTCTACCCATATTCTTATACCATGCGCAGTACTAATGCTGTACCCAGGTATTATCAGACGAAATGGGTTTTACATATGTGCTGTCGCTTTTACTATTCATCTGTTTTTTCGTGTGTATGTCAAAATTGACATTTTGCATATGGCATAAATTTTTTGCTATCACACATTTGAATGTGTTTTTTTCATTTTCTTTGTTCTTTTTGTTTGGTATTTTATAACAAATATAGTACTTTATTCATGAATTTTTACTATAAAATGTAATTTTCACACAGCAAACCACACTTGTTGAAATTACATTTTCCAATGAAAATATCTCTCGCTGTTACTTTACTCAAGTATTTCACACAATATGTGCAAGTTATACGTTGGAAAATTTGACATACATATGTGTAAAAAAAACATTTCGTCTCATAGTACCTTTATGATCTTGCACAAGTATTATTTGGATCACTTTTCATTAAGTACAGGTGGATCTCCATGGAACGCTTTTAATGCAGCTTCTTAAATACTAGTTTCATGTACATTTCAAATTTAATTATTTTCAACCTACCGAAAGTCCATATCCTCTACATTAATTGAGTTTATATCTACAACAAAAATACTAAAATCTACTATAACTGGAGATCCTTTTTTCGAAGGCGGCCGTATTTCTGAAAAAATAGAAATAAAAATATTTACAACAATTATATTTGAAAAATAAATAATATGCAATAACAAAAACAACATTATTTTAGATAAAATAACAAAGACAAATACTCTATGGCATTTTTTTTTGTTTTGGAATGACACTGATGTCGCTGTTTTCATGCATGACGGAAATGAGTGTGTTGAATAAACATGACCCTGGCTAAATATTTGCCAATGCTTGTTGGTGTTTTTAGTTTTTTTTTTTTTTTTTATTTTTCGGTGTTTTCGGCTATTCGGCTTCTCAACTTTGCCACATGAAAATCAATAAAAGTTCTTCACATTGAAAAACAGTGAAGAATGAATGTTTCATCCAAACGTGGCATTGACTATTGCGGCAAGGACATTGCTGGGTGCTGGTGTTATTGTAGTTTGTCGTGTTTTTTAGTCCTTTAATGAAGTAGGTGTAAATTGTTGAATAACCTAACCGGTTAGTTCACATACACTCACACACATGTTAACCCGCGCGAAAAAAACCGTTATGGTTGGGGGAGGGGAGAAATATATTATTCTCTAAACGCTTCTTGCCCTGACGTCCTTTCGTGTTAATAGTCATTATCAGGAATCACAGTGGTCTCTTGATTTTTTATTTTTTTTATAGTTTTTGCGCTATTTCCGGTCTCAACGCCCTGGCGGTGTTTGGCAGAAAGAAAATGAAAAGCGATAATAACAAGATGTGTCAGACTCCTCTTTAATTTTGGCCCTTAAAGCCCAACGTTCTTCAATTTTAAAGGTGAGGGTACATAAAAAGCTTTATTGACTGCCTTAAGTCATCGGCTGGCTTCTTCGTAGAGAAACAAATTAGTTTCAGGTTGACTTAGTTCGATTTTAACTCTACGCTCCTTTATTCGTTTCTGAAGAAGCCAGCCAATCAAAAAACGGTTTGTGTATTCTAACCTTTAGGGCCCCGCATTTTTTCTCTTCTTTGCAGGTATCAAACTGTAAATTAGTTTAAAGAATGAGGTTAGAAGGCATGTCCTTTATGTTTTTTATGGACTTCTGACTCGTGCATTTATATAAAATTCTCCCTCAACAAACACTGACCTCCTCTTTGGTCAGACAACCGTGAAGTATGATCTTTTTGTCGTATCACAAATATTAACAAGTATTTCCAACGTTCAAACACAAACGAATATAAAACGACATTCAAGTTTATCAATTGTTCTTTTAATATTTTTTTTCAAAACAGAGGTTTTTAATTTAAAATTTAGAATCCAAACTTTGGGGCACCTCTTTATAATTAACCCCGGTCTAAAGCGATTTTTTCCTTTTATACCGGAGAAAATACTATAATTTTCACTATTTTCCACTGTTTTGGCCATTTTTCTCTTCATTATTGGACTTTGTTTTAATCGTACCTAAGAATCCCTATCACTAGCCCATATTTGAAATTTGTTATTAAAGTACGTTTACATACACATATTTATCCGGGTTAACTCTGATTATTAATCATCTGATAATTAACAATCTGATTATTAATTAATCAATCTCGACTCATGATAGAAGAATACAGGTAGATGCATCAACGTTTAGGAACATTGATATGTCAAATATTTTAAAATGTTTTTCCAAAAATGAATAGATTCTTATGTTTTCTTATACGACGACAATCAGAGGGTGTTATGATATACATTTGTCAGCAATTTTAACGAAATTGAATAAGTTTTCATTCAAAATTTTCAATTTCAAAATTGACTTGACAGTTCATTGCCCCAGTAGCCGATGCGGCTACCTGTGTTCTTCTACCATGATTTCGACTATAGAAAACATATATTCAATTTTTTGTGATTGGTCAATGATCTCCACTATAGAAAACATACAATTTATGGTAGAAGAATAGAGGTAGATGCATCAACGCTTGGGGAAAAAAGGAGATTTGTATAAGTTTTCCTATATGACGCTAACCAGAGAGTGCTATGATATGGATTTTTCAACTATTTTCACAAATTTGAATAATTTTTCATTCAGAATTTTCAATTCCAAAATCAGTTTGACAGTTCATTGTCTCAGCAGCTGGGCGATGCAACTACCTGTATTCTCCTACCATGGTAGTGAGTATTGGCAACACTTTTTTCCTTCACTTAAATTGACATGTATTTGTATCCTCTTAATTTTTCCATGGTCGGTCGTAGCAATAAATTTATACTAAAACACGATCGGCCAAAACATTCAACATAAAAAGAATCTTCTACGTTCTTTAACAATTCGTTTAAATTTTCAATCCAATTTTCGGAGATATTTCCAGGAATGGAAAAAATGCAGATGCCTTTCATTCTTGGAAAGGTGGTGGCATCGTAAACAAAAAAAAAAAAAAAAGAATTAATCATGGTACAATAAGGAGGTAGAACAGCTTCGTAAAACTATAGAAATACAGTCCTGAGGCTATGCCCGCTTCCTGTCAGAATTATTCAAAGTTATAGGCAACAAGTTGTTTTCATTTATTTGGTATTTTTTGTTCATTTCTAAAATGAGTCAAATAGCGCGAAAGACGAATGAAATGCCTAAGTGTTCAATCTTTCAATTCCATGGCAAATCTCATTGGCATCATTAATGCGTTCCCCGCAATTTAAGTTTCTTCCACATAATTGTTTTGAAAATGTTTTGTTTTTATTTTTCAAAACAACAAATACATATACAAAATTGGCAGATGTCGGGCACACTTAGAAAAAAATTTTAATCAGCTGGGAGCTCTACCTTACCTTTTTATTGTACCATGACTAAAACTCGAACGGCCAAAACATTCAACATAAAAAGAATCATAAATGTTCTTTTCTTAACAATTTTTTTTTTAATTTTCAATCCAATTTGCGGGAATATTTCCAGAAAAGGAAAAAATTCAGATGTCTTTCATTCTTGGATAGGTGGTGGCAAAGTGAGCAAAAAAAGTATTAACTGTTGTACCATGGTAGAAGAATTTATGTAGATGCATCGACATAGCTGCTGGGACAATGAACTGTCAAACCAATTTTGGGATTGAAAATGTGGAATGAAAAATTATTTAAATTTGTAAAAATTGTTTAAAAACGCTAATCATAATAACCTCCGAATGACGTCATATAAGAAAACATATAAAAATCTTTTTATATTTGAAAACATATTTAATTTTTTTTGACATATCAATGCTCCTGAGCGTTAATGTATCTACCTGTATTCTTCTGCCATGTGTTGTATGCCGACCCATTTAATGCATTTTTAAATTAATTGTTTCATATTTTTCTCAAAACTTTCTAAAAACAAAATAACTTTTTGAACGAGTTCGCTGACACATCTTGTTATTATAGTTTCCCCTTTTTTCATTATGGTTAAGTATTAGTTGATTGTTGGCTTGTATAATGGAGTAATTGGTGGTGGTGGTGGGCGTGCAGGTGTGTGAGGGTCCCTCTGTTGACGATTTCTTTTCCCTGCCGTATATAATCACTGCAAATGTGTAAGTCCTTGAACAAAGTGTCAAGTTCAAAACTCAAGCGATGAATAAAGGAAATTCCAACAGAGGACACATACAATGTATGTGCATATATTCTACGCATCTACACAATGTGATATTTTTTAATTAATTTGTCGAAGACTAGGATCTTTTTAACAGTCACTTCGGTTTTAGAACTAATTTATGTATTATTTTAATATTTTATTATAATAAATACGGTGGGTTTTAAATGATATTTCCATACGCAAGACAATTTAAAGTTAAAATCTATCGGATTTATTATATGTAAACAGGCTTTTATTGACTTTGTTCAATTATTCATCTCAGTGAAACGTTCCAATGGAACCAGTTCCTTAGTGAATTGCACAAGCCGTTCAAGAAATTTACTTATCACTGGGATCATATTACTAACTGTTTTGATCAAGAATTTTTAGAATTTAGAAGATGGACAATAAATGTTCACTTGTACTTACCCTTGACATAATTGGGAGGCAAAACAACTCTCGGCTTGGCGGTATAATTTACATGTGCTTCTGATGATTCGGTTAACCTGTAATAAAAAAGATTTTTTGAAAATTTTAACAAAACATTAATAGACACAGATTTTTTTAAAATACCCTTCGATAACTCAATGAAAAAACATGCTAAAAACCCCGAAATGTCAATATTTAAGGAGTTATGAGCGTTTTAAAATACCATATTTTTCCTCTTTTAATATCTCAATGAAAAAATAGGCTAAAACCCCCGAAATGTCAATATTTAAGGAGTTATGAGCGTTTTAAAATACCCTATTTTTCTTCCTTCGATATCTCATTGAAAAAACATGCTAAAAACCCCGAAATGTCAATATTTAATGAGTTATGAGCGTTCTAAAATACCCTATTTTTCCTCTTTTAATATCTCAATGAAAAAATAGGCTAAAAACCCCGAAATGTCAATATTTAAGGAGTTATGAGCGTTTTAAAATACCCTATTTTTCCTCCTTCGATATCTCAATAAAAAAATAGGCTAAAAACCCCGAAATGTCAATATTCAAGGAGTTATGAGCGTTTTAAAATACCATATTTTTCCTCCTTCGATATCTCAATGAAAAAATAGGCTATAAACCCCAAATGTCAATATTTAAGGAGTTATGAGCGTTTTAAAATACCCTATTTTTCCTCCTTCGATATCTCGATGAAAAAACATGCTAAAAACCCGGAAATGTCAATATTTAAGGAGTTATGAGCGTCTTAAAATACCCTATTTTTCCTCTTTTAATATCTCAATGAAAAAATAGGCTAAAAACCCCGAAATGTCAATATTTAAGGAGTTATGAGCGTTTTAAAATACCCTATTTTTCCTCCTTCGATATCTCAATGAAAAAATAGGCTAAAAACCCCGAAATGTCAATATTCAAGGAGTTATGAGCGTTTTAAAATACCCTATTTTTCCTCCTTCGATATCTCAATGAAAAAATAGGCTAAAAACCCCAAAATGTCAATATTTAAGGAGTTATGAGCGTTTTAAAATACCCTATTTTTCCTCCTTCGATATCTCGATGAAAAAACATGCTAAAAACCCCGAAATGTCAATATTTAAGGAGTTATGAGCGTTTTAAAATACCCTGTTTTTCCTCTTTCAATATTTAAGGAGTTATGAGCGTTTTAAAATAGGCTATTTTTCCTCTTTAAATATCTGCAATCAAAACGATGCTAAAAACCCCGAAATGTCAATATTTAAGGAGTTATGAGCGTTTTAAAATAGGCTATTTTTCCTCTTTAAATATCTGCAATCAAAACGATGCTAAAAACCCCGAAATGTCAATATTTAAGGAGTTATGAGCGTTTTAAAACAGGCTATAAAGAAACTGCAATCAAAACGATGCTAAAAACCCCGAAATGTCAATATTTAAGGAGTTATGAGCGTTTTAAAATAGGCTATTTTTCCTCTTTAAATATCTGCAATCAAAACGATGCTAAAAACCCCGAAATGTCAATATTTAAGGAGTTATGAGCGTTTTAAAACAGGCTATAAAGAAACTGCAATCAAAACGATGCTAAAAACCCCGAAATGTCAATATTTAAGGAGTTATGAGCGTTTTAAAATAGGCTATTTTTCCTCTTTAAATATCTGCAATCAAAACGATGCTAAAAACCCCGAAATGTCAATATTTAAGGAGTTATGAGCGTTTTAAAATAGGCTATTTTTCCTCTTTAAATATCTGCAATCAAAACGATGCTAAAAACCCCGAAATGTCAATATTTAAGGAGTTATGAGCGTTTTAAAACAGGCTATAAAGAAACTGCAATCAAAACGATGCTAAAAACCCCGAAATGTCAATATTTAAGGAGTTATGAGCGTTTTAAAATAGGCTATTTTTCCTCTTTAAATATCTGCAATCAAAACGATGCTAAAAACCCCGAAATGTCAATATTTAAGGAGTTATGAGCGTTTTAAAACAGGCTATAAAGAAACTGCAATCAAAACGATGCTAAAAACCCCGAAATGTCAATATTTAAGGAGTTATGAGCGTTTTAAAATAGGCTATTTTTCCTCTTTAAATATCTGCAATCAAAACGATGCTAAAAACCCCGAAATGTCAATATTTAAGGAGTTATGAGCGTTTTAAAACAGGCTATAAAGAAACTGCAATCAAAACGATGCTAAAAACCCCGAAATGTCAATATTTAAGGAGTTATGAGCGTTTTAAAATAGGCTATTTTTCCTCTTTAAATATCTGCAATCAAAACGATGCTAAAAACCCCGAAATGTCAATATTTAAGGAGTTATGAGCGTTTTAAAATAGGCTATTTTTCCTCTTTAAATATCTGCAATCAAAACGATGCTAAAAACCCCGAAATGTCAATATTTAAGGAGTTATGAGCGTTTTAAAACAGGCTATAAAGAAACTGCAATCAAAACGATGCTAAAAACCCCGAAATGTCAATATTTAAGGAGTTATGAGCGTTTTAAAATAGGCTATTTTTCCTCTTTAAATATCTGCAATCAAAACGATGCTAAAAACCCCGAAATGTCAATATTTAAGGAGTTATGAGCGTTTTAAAACAGGCTATAAAGAAACTACAATCAAAACGATGCTAAAAACCCCGAAATGTCAATATTTAAGGAGTTATGAGCGTTTTAAAACAGGCTATAAAGAAACTGCAATCAAAACGATGCTAAAAACCCCGAAATGTCAATATTTAAGGAGTTATGAGCGTTTTAAAATAGGCTATTTTTCCTCTTTAAATATCTGCAATCAAAACGATGCTAAAAACCCCGAAATGTCAATATTTAAGGAGTTATGAGCGTTTTAAAATAGGCTATTTTTCCTCTTTAAATATCTGCAATCAAAACGATGCTAAAAACCCCGAAATGTCAATATTTAAGGAGTTATGAGCGTTTTAAAACAGGCTATAAAGAAACTGCAATCAAAACGATGCTAAAAACCCCGAAATGTCAATATTTAAGGAGTTATGAGCGTTTTAAAATAGGCTATTTTTCCTCTTTAAATATCTGCAATCAAAACGATGCTAAAAACCCCGAAATGTCAATATTTAAGGAGTTATGAGCGTTTTAAAACAGGCTATAAAGAAACTGCAATCAAAACGATGCTAAAAACCCCGAAATGTCAATATTTAAGGAGTTATGAGCGTTTTAAAATAGGCTATTTTTCCTCTTTAAATATCTGCAATCAAAACGATGCTAAAAACCCCGAAATGTCAATATTTAAGGAGTTATGAGCGTTTTAAAACAGGCTATAAAGAAACTGCAATCAAAACGATGCTAAAAACCCCGAAATGTCAATATTTAAGGAGTTATGAGCGTTTTAAAATAGGCTATTTTTCCTCTTTAAATATCTGCAATCAAAACGATGCTAAAAACCCCGAAATGTCAATATTTAAGGAGTTATGAGCGTTTTAAAACAGGCTATAAAGAAACTGCAATCAAAACGATGCTAAAAACCCCGAAATGTCAATATTTAAGGAGTTATGAGCGTTTTAAAATAGGCTATTTTTCCTCTTTAAATATCTGCAATCAAAACGATGCTAAAAACCCCGAAATGTCAATATTTAAGGAGTTATGAGCGTTTTAAAACAGGCTATAAAGAAACTGCAATCAAAACGATGCTAAAAACCCCGAAATGTCAATATTTAAGGAGTTATGAGCGTTTTAAAATAGGCTATTTTTCCTCTTTAAATATCTGCAATCAAAACGATGCTAAAAACCCCGAAATGTCAATATTTAAGGAGTTATGAGCGTTTTAAAATAGGCTATTTTTCCTCTTTAAATATCTGCAATCAAAACGATGCTAAAAACCCCGAAATGTCAATATTTAAGGAGTTATGAGCGTTTTAAAACAGGCTATAAAGAAACTTCAATCAAAACGATGCTAAAAACCCCGAAATGTCAATATTTAAGGAGTTATGAGCGTTTTAAAACAGGCTATAAAGAAACTTCAATCAAAACGATGCTAAAAACCCCGAAATGTCAATATTTAAGGAGTTATGAGCGTTTTAAAACAGGCTATAAAGAAACTGCAATCAAAACGATGCTAAAAACCCCGAAATGTCAATATTTAAGGAGTTATGAGCGTTTTAAAATAGGCTATTTTTCCTCTTTAAATATCTGCAATCAAAACGATGCTAAAAACCCCGAAATGTCAATATTTAAGGAGTTATGAGCGTTTTAAAATAGGCTATTTTTCCTCTTTAAATATCTGCAATCAAAACGATGCTAAAAACCCCGAAATGTCAATATTTAAGGAGTTATGAGCGTTTTAAAACAGGCTATAAAGAAACTGCAATCAAAACGATGCTAAAAACCCCGAAATGTCAATATTTAAGGAGTTATGAGCGTTTTAAAATAGGCTATTTTTCCTCTTTAAATATCTGCAATCAAAACGATGCTAAAAACCCCGAAATGTCAATATTTAAGGAGTTATGAGCGTTTTAAAATAGGCTATTTTTCCTCTTTAAATATCTGCAATCAAAACGATGCTAAAAACCCCGAAATGTCAATATTTAAGGAGTTATGAGCGTTTTAAAATAGGCTATTTTTCCTCTTTAAATATCTGCAATCAAAACGATGCTAAAAACCCCGAAATGTCAATATTTAAGGAGTTATGAGCGTTTTAAAACAGGCTATAAAGAAACTGCAATCAAAACGATGCTAAAAACCCCGAAATGTCAATATTTAAGGAGTTATGAGCGTTTTAAAATAGGCTATTTTTCCTCTTTAAATATCTGCAATCAAAACGATGCTAAAAACCCCGAAATGTCAATATTTAAGGAGTTATGAGCGTTTTAAAATAGGCTATTTTTCCTCTTTAAATATCTGCAATCAAAACGATGCTAAAAACCCCGAAATGTCAATATTTAAGGAGTTATGAGCGTTTTAAAACAGGCTATAAAGAAACTGCAATCAAAACGATGCTAAAAACCCCGAAATGTCAATATTTAAGGAGTTATGAGCGTTTTAAAATAGGCTATTTTTCCTCTTTAAATATCTGCAATCAAAACGATGCTAAAAACCCCGAAATGTCAATATTTAAGGAGTTATGAGCGT